ACGCTCCACGGCGGCCCAAGAGGCTCCCAAGATCCCCCCAGGCGGCCCCAAAGATTTCCCAGAAGGCCCAAACAAAGAGGGCCCCCACAATAGCCCCACAGACGGCCTCCAAGAAGCTCCAAGAGGTCCCCCATAGGCTCCCATGCGGCGCCCAAATGGGCACCAAGACGCCCCTGAAAGGTGCCCATGAGGCCCTCAAAAGCAGCACAACACGACCGCCCGTTCCCCAAGGGGTCGGCGGTGTGGCGGAAGCCCAAGAACCTTTCTGTAGAGGCCTACGAAGAGGGAACTTGGAGGGCATTCTTCTCCTCTTCCTCCCTGCTCGCATGCTTTGGACCGCCCAGCTCGGCAGACACCGCACGTGGATCGTGCTCCATGGGGAGCTCCACCGATTGCCCCTGTGGAGGGACTTGCAAAGCGTCCCCGCGCCCATCTCGGCATCGGCCCCATAGGGAAATCCACTGATGGCCCCAATGGAAGCACTCGCATGGCGTCACCGCGCCCATTTCCGCACACCCCCCACGCGGGCCGTGTCCCCATAGGGAGGCGCCTGTGGTTCCAGTGGAGAGACACTCACGGCGTCCCCATGCCCATTTCGGCAGACCCCTTATGTGGATCGTGCCCCATAGGGAGCTCCACCTATGGCCCCAGTAGGAAGGTTCCATTGCTTCCTTGCGTCCATTTCTGAACACCCCTGACGCGGATCGTGCCCCCATGGGGAGTTTCACCTATGGCCCCAGTGGGGGAACTCTCATGGCCTTCCCGCGCCCAGTTCGGCACACCTCTCATGCGGGTCGTGCCCTCATAAAGGGCTCCACCGATGGCCTCGGTGCGGGAGCTCGCAGAGCGTCCCCCCGCCCAGTTCGGCACTCCCCTCGCGCGGACGGAGCCCCACGAGGAGCTCCGCTCTGGCAGACCGTTGCTCCATCTGACCCGTTCATCTCTCCCTTCTGGGCGCTGCGAGTTGCGCAACTGTCGCCACATTCGTGAGCCCCTGTGGTTCCAGTGGTGTGCAGTCTTACGCAGGAGGAGGAGGAAGAGGATGATGAGGACGAGGATTAGGAGTAGGAGGAGGAAGGGCAGGATGAGGGAGATTGCCCCCTCGATTTTTACGACAGCGGTGGTCCTCTGGAAACGAAGATCAATGCTAAGCTTCGACTTCTATGGCTATTTCAATCGCCTCATGGTAGCGCAGCGTGGCGGAAAACCTGCTGCTAGATTGTACTCGTCGCTTGGCAACGCAGGGAGCGAGCACACACACAGACACACACACAGCCACACACAGACACACACAGACACACGCAGACATACCCAGACACACACAGGCACGCACAGACACACAGGCACACAGACACACAGGCACACAGAAACACAGACACACACAGACACACAGACACACAGACACACACAGACACACAGACACACACAGACACACACACAGACACACAGACACACACAGACATAAATACACACAGACACACACACACACGCACGCACGCACACACACACACACGCACGAACGCACACACGCACGCACGCACACACACACACACGCACACACGCGCACACACGCGCACACACAACACAATTAACACACTTAACACACAACACACAACACACAACACACAACACACAACACACAACGCACAACACACAACACACACACACACATCACACACAACATACACAACATACACAACATACACAACACACTTAACACACTTAACAAACAAAGCACTTACCACACTCAACACACCACACACAGCACATTACACATATAACACAGACACACTCCACACGCACACAACGCCTACAACACACAACACACAACACACAGCACACAACATACACAACATACACAACATACACAACAGCCACACCAGACACAACACACGCAACACACGCAACACACACGCAACACACACAACACACAACGCACACATCACACACAACACACACAACACACACAACACACAACACACACCACACAACACACAACACACAGCATACACAGCATACACAACAGACACAACAGACACAACAGACACAACAGACACAACAGACACAACAGACACAACACACGCAACACACAACACACACAACACACAACACACAACACACAACACACACCACACACAACATACAGCACACAACACACACCACACACCACACACACCACACACCACACACACCACACACCACAGACACAATCACAATCATACACACAAACACACACAAACACCAACACACACAAAACCAAACACACACACAACCACACACGCAAACACAAACCCAAGCACACGCACAAACACACACAGAAACACGGACACAAACACAAACACAAACCAAACCACACACATGAACACGACCACAACCACAACCAAAGCCACAGCCACACATACAAACACAAACACAAACATACACAGACACAAACAAACACAACCACACCAGAACCACGAAGCATACCAGCCAGCGTTGACTCGAAATAGATTAGACGATC